CCCCAAAACCCCAAAACCCCAAAACCCCTGGGGATTGAGTAAAGATTGGAAGATCATTTTATAATATATTTAGAAAAATGGAAGAAAAGAAACAATCGAAAGAGAAAAGTAAGCCTGAATTCAAACATTTCTTCCCAATCAAGCTTCTTCAGACTTTAAACCAAAAATTCATTTATTCTTTCTCCTTTTCTAATCAACAACTCCTACCAATCCATCCCAATACTCTACCCTCACAAATCCCTCTGCCAGTCTCTTCATCCTTCTCTGCTCCAATTAACCTTACTCATTTCAAATTCTTTATCTTTCGACCTAACTTAGATTGCACTAGTGAAGCTCTACTAGTGATAACAAAGCAATAATCATATAAACCTTACAGGACCAACTTCAGAATTTTCATGACCCAATCTTTATCTCTACTTACACCATCTCTAACAACTCCTGAGTCTCCCCAAAACCGACCTATATCGATTCATTTCTAAAACCAAAGGCATACTTTTCAATTGCCTCAAGCCCAATAAATCCTGGTCTTCTTCAGAGAGCCCACTTTGACTACTTATAATGCTAACATCTGAACTATTTACCTGAATTTCACAGGGTTTTAATATGTTGAGAAAGGGAAATATAGGCCCAAGAGGACGGCCTAGAGGGACTTTGGCAGGGATAAGAGAGGGGGTGAATAGGATTTGGGTGGATGTTGGAAGGAGATTGATTTAGGTGAAGAGATTGTTATGAAGAAATGTGAGAAGATTTGAAATTGGTTATGAGGAGTTGTGTATGCGAATTTTAGGTATCCGAAGACGTTTGTGAAACCTGAAGTGTTGACGTTGTTTTGAGGGAGTGTTATGTGTGTCAAATTTCTGAGAAAAATGAGCTCTATTGTTATACCTGAGATAAATAGTATGACGATAGGGGGTATTTATACAAGAGACAAATACGTTGGCCGTATTATTGAGAAATGCTTTCCACAAAAAGTTCATACTCTTCAGTTATGTTCTGGAACTAATCTCACTCCAATAAGGATTTTATTTCCCCAATTAATGAAGCTCTCTATAAATGTTAAAGAAATAGTGAATATGAGTGGTTTTGAGATCAATGAAAGACAATTTAAAAGAATATTAGCTGCATTTAGGCACATAAAATCTGTGAGCATTAAACGTTCAAAGTTCTTGATCCCAAATATACCAAATTTATCATTAGCTTTAAATAATACTAAAATTAAAAAACTGAATTTCGATTTTTGAGGAAAAGAAGATAATAGCAACTGGAAAGAAAACCCTCAAGAATTCATAAACCTCATCAAAGGCATCTCTAAATCCCCCCAACTCACTCAATCCCTCAACTCCTTAAGCGCCATAAACTCCTTCTCCAACCCAGAACAAATCAGACTCATCCTCAGTACCACCAGCCTCTCCCACATAAATCTTTCCTTATAACCCTTCTTACCCCTACTCCCTTCCCAAACTCCCAAATTTCCTCTCTAAAATTTCCTTCCCAGGCCTCATATTCAACCTCCAAAATCTGACTGGGGTTTTGGGGTTTTGGGGTTTTGGGGTTTTGGGG